TATAAAAACTCCAGAGGATACGTTTACACTTTAACCAGATATTGTTTTCTATTTTTGGATTTCTTCTTCTCCTCTCCCCCTTTTGGTAGTGGTAGGGGGAGCATATTTGTATAAAGAACTATCGCCCCAGAGTGACATTTATTTTCCAAGGTGACATTGAACTCACGCTGTTGGTCTCATGACGTGTTTGTGTGCTGCGCCTACCTAGATTCCAGGCCCGAGGATTTGAGGAAAATCCAGGTTTTTGCTTTTCCCTTTTGGTTTCCATTACTGATTCTTGGACATGTCCCTTTCGCTAGTCTGGGTGTGGAGGACTCGGTCAGCACAGCACAGTCGGATCGGAGCCTGCCGTGTTTCCAACAGAATTCCCGTTAGCTGCTCCAGGGCGGGGGAGGCGTGGACTGCCCGCCCTTGGGGTCTGGGTGGCACGGAAGACCTGGCTCTGGAAGAACAGGTTTGACTTGGCAGAGCCCCAGGCCCGGGGGCTGGCCTGCACCATGGGGGCCGCGACGTAGCGAGGCTGCTGTTGGTCATCTGGGCTTCCAAATCCCTCTGTTTTCATGTTTTCTGATCAGGGGCCCAGCAGTGCAGCGGTGGCCGGAACCAAAGCTGCCTGCAGGCACCTGGCTGGCCGCGAGGCTTCCTGGCTGCTCCCAGCCAGCACTGGTGGCCTCGGGACCCTTGTCTGCCTTTGTAGCCGTTGTCCCTGTGCGCCTGCAGCCCCTCTTCAGAGTTCAGGCCCAGCAGGTCTCCCCAGACTTTTCCCAGGAAGTGTAGGGGAGGAGCCTGAGTTCCCAGTTCGGATCGGGGTTGACCTGGCACTCTGGGCCAGCTTGTCCATTTCGCAGAAGGTACCGAGGTGTTAGGCGTCCCATCTCCCTGGCACGGGCGCCAGCCAAGTGGCTGGCTAGGTCCTGCGCCCGACTGACCGGCCCAGAGTGTGGCGGTCACTGTTCAGACGGTAGAGCTGCCCAGCTGCCTGCCCCTGCGGCCAGGACCACCCTGAGAGAGCAAGGCAGGCCCCCATGAAGGCACGTGCGTGGCTGACTGGCTTCCCGGCCTGCCGCTGCCTCTCCCTTGCCCGGGAGGCTGGCAGAGTGCTGGAAAGGATCTTTGAGCTGGGCGCGTACGGAAACTCGGGGGCGCCCCGCGCGTCTCGCCCTCCGGAGTCCGCAGAGGTGAGTGCGCGTCTGTGACCTTCTCAGAGTCAGTCTGTGATTCCTCAGAGGCCAGGTTTGAGCCAGCTGACTGCCTTTTGGGAACCGACTGCGGGAGTTGGCTTTTCGCCCCGGGGGTGTGCTCCGCGCCCGCGCAGGCCCGCCCTCTCCTGCCTGGCCATAGCTGTGACGAAGCTCCGTTCTCTCCGCACGGTGATTAGTCAAACCGTTTCGCAGAATTGTTTCTATTCACTTTCTGGTAACTTCTGTAGGCCCTGGCTCAAGGACTAGCATTGTGTCTCATGTACATCTTTTTCTTAAATGTTCTTTGCCATTTCTGGAATTGTCCTTGGTTTCTCCTTAGCTCATAGATCATAGATGCAGAAATATTGTAGTATTTAAGGCATCCGCGTCCAGCATCAGATGGCTTTGCATCCAGAAACATTTAGCAGTAACTCAGTTTGAAGCACCACGCATGTGTAACATGGCGCTATAAAGTATAATAAATGCGTAATGTCAAGCTTTGTAATGCCTGTGGTCCTTGTGTGTCCCTTCTCGCTCACGGCCGCCACCCCTTGGCTTCCACTGCGCAGCCTGGCCTGGCCAGCAGCCTGGTTCCGTGGCCGCCCAGGCGGGCCTCGAGGGCTCCCGCTCGCAGCTGGACGCTCCCAGCAGCCAGGTGGCCTCTGCCACTCGGCCTCGGTGCTCGCGAGCCTTGGCACAGTCTCACGTGGCTGCCAGCGGCGGAGGGCACCCCGCCTGCATCTGGGCGCGGCCGCTGCAGAGTTGGGTTGGCAGTGGCCTGGCCAGGCGAAACGTGGTCTGGGGGTTGGAAGCGGCTCAGGGTGCCGAGGGCTCCAGGTGGGCTCGGGCCAAACCAGCCCGCCCTGTGCAGCCTGGCCCGCGGCCACTTCCCGGGAGCCCCCAGCTTCCCTGCCCTCCTCACCTCCGCTCCTGTCCCCTGGCCAGCTTCCCGCTCCCCCTGCCCTGAGGACTGTCAGGCCCTGTGTCGGCGCCTACCGACTGGCCTTCTGGGGTGCGCAGGCCAGCGGAGGAGGCCGGAAGATGGAGATGTCTGTGCCGGGAAGCAGCCCAGGGTGGGCTGGGGGATGGGCCTGGAAGTGCTCTCGAGTGCCGGCTGCAGCCTGCGCGCGCCCTGTACCCTGCCACTGTCACCGTCACCCCAGCCATGCCACCCCCACCCCGCCTGGGCTGGCCAGAGCCTCCAGCCCTGTGTCTGCCTCGTGCCCTCCCCCCCCCCAGCACTTTGCTTCTGCCCTGCCTCCTCCCACCCCAGGGTTCCCCTCACATCTGCAGCTCTTGCCTTGGCCTGCTTGGAGCCTCAGGAAGGCACGTGTGGGGGTTGGGGATCCCGGAACTGGGAAGCAAGCCTAGGTGGGGTGGGGGTGCTGGAGGCTCTGTGCCCTCGGAGCCCCTGTGCACACCCTTGGCACAGCGTGCGGCGGGCCAGCCAAACCAGGGGCTCCTGGGCCGCCTCCGCCTCCCGCTCCGCCCACCCCCTGCTGGCTGTCCTCCCAGTGAGCCCCTCGCCAAGGATGCGGCGTGGTGAAGGCCTTGGAGAGGGCAGTGGCCTTCGGCACTGTGTCTTCCTCAGCAGAGCAGGGGAGAGTCCCCGCAAGAAGCTCCTTCTACCAGGGGAAAGGTGCAGGGCCGAGAGGGGTGCCTCTGATGCCAGCTTGGGGTGACCTGGAGTTAGCTAGAGAGGAGACATGACTGGAGGATACCTGGTGCCCAGGGGGTGGTGGGGTGGCTCCTGAGGGAGGGACACGTGGAGTGAGCAGCCCCCAGAAACCCCTGAACTTCCCCCAGCTTAGGTGGTTGTTACCCACCCTTGCCTTATGCATCTCCCGCCCACCTTTGCACCCCACATCTCTGGTCTGTGTCCTCTCTGGGACCCCGTCTCTGCCTGGCCGCCTCTGGTCGTGTCACCCAGGCCTGCGCAGCCATGGCTACTGGCCCTGTCTTCCCGGATGTCTCCCTTCCCCTCCGTTCTAGCCACTCAACCTGTGCGCCCGAGGCCCTGCCCTCATCATCCTCACTCCTCAGCAGCTCTCTGCCCTTGCCACATCTGCACCCTATGCTGCATCCCCACTGTCGTGAATGTTGCTGCCAGCCAGGGTCATTAGAACCTGAAGTCCCTCAGGCGCCTGGGGAAGCCACCCCAGAGGCCACAGCTGATCTTCACAGCCCAGCGATGGCTGGGGGGCAGGCGTGGCTGCAGCCCTGAGGCCAGGTTGGGGCCTCTGCACTGGAGCTGCCTCTGCAGCCAGACTGGACACAGGCCACCCGGTATCTTGGGGGTGAGCGGGGCTTCGGACTCAACGACAAACAGCCGGTGGTGCAGGGCCGGCCAGGCGGGTGCCAGAAGCTGGTGTGTGCGGGCGAGGCCTGTCAGAGGGTGACTGGTCTCCCTGGAGGCACTGTGCCAAGCGGTGTGGGCCTCCCTTTCACAGCCATCCCGGAGGCCTCAGTCACTGACTTCTTCCTTCTCAACAGCCACCTCTGGGACACAGATGTGGGCACTGGAAAGGCAGCCTCGGGACACGCTGGGAGCCCTGAGGGAGCCTCCCCTGCTGGGCCCAGGGGCCCTCCATCCTCTCCACCCGCAGTGACGCCCACCTCTGTCATCCAGGGTCTCAACAAACTGCCCTCCAGATTGGGTCAGCTACTGGCACCCCAAGACCAGATACCGGCTCCCAGTGCTGCTGGGAAAAGTGGGGGTGTCTACCTGCAAGCCTGGCCCACAGGATGCTGACAAGCCCCCCCAAAGAAGCTGCACCCTTCCAGGCTGCCTGCCATGGGCGCGGGCTTCCTTGGAATGGGGCCTCGACCAACTTAGGAGTCACGACGAGGTCAGACGGAGGCAGGGCGGGCCCTGAAGGCGGCATTGGCTTCCTGTGGGGGGGGCTGGCCGCACCCGGCAGAGGCGCCAGTGCCCTCCCCCCGCTGTCCGTGCCCCTGGGGAGCCACATGCCCTCACCTGCAGTGCAGACTCCCCCCCCCGCCCCCACAGGTGAGAAGAGACGTCTGTCTCAGCCCCACGGCCCTGGGTGCCAGCGCCGTCTCCGAGAGAATCGTCCAGTAGAAAAGCCGAGACGGAACAGGCCATACCGACGCGGCCAGGCGCGCGCGCATGAGCGCCACCCAGCCTCTTCCCTGGGGCCTAGCTGGCTCTTCAGCTCCGGTGGGGTCCTTTCGGGCAGGGGAAGGAGGGGCTGCTCCTGCGCTGGCGTCACTGGGCAGCCAGCCCCTGCCCAGCTGCAGAGGAGCCTGGCGTCACCGGCTGGTGCCGGGGTTAAGTGGGTGTAAGGGGCGGGAGAGCTGGCTGCCCTCCTGGAGGGAAAGCGGGACCCCTCTGCGGAGGTGTGGCTTTGGGCTCTGAGCCTCAGGCCTCTAGCTGGGAGGCTCTGGCCTGGGTGGCCGGCAGGACACACAGCTCTTTGGCCAAGGAGCTGACCTCCAGGAGGCGAGCCTCAAGGCGCCCTGAGGCCGCTGCGGCTGGTCTTCCATCCTCGGAGGCGCCAGCCCTCTGTGCCTGCCCCTGTAGGACCCCACAGTTCGCTGCCCCTGCTGCAGCCACGTGCTGAGCCCAGCCTGGGGCAGCAGACCCCGGGAGCGCTTGCGGTGGGCGAGAGGGCGGCCCTGCTTTCCTTCCTGACCCTGCCTGGCAGATGGGGAGGCCGAGGGCCAGCTTGTCCCGTGGCCAGGCTGCCAGCAGGGTCTGGGGGCACCAAGCCCAGCAGGGCGGCCACTGGCTCCGGGAGTGGGTGGCGAACGAATCCCGTTGACCCACGGACGCAGAGGAAGCCTCACGCTCTTAAAAAAAATCCAACACTTTATTCCCGCGGTCATCTCCGCAGTGGCGCCACACGGGGCAGGTGGCCGCGTGACCCGACTCGCCTGTGCAAAAGCAGCATGGCTGCGCCGTGCGGGCTGCGACTGGGGCCAGGACCGGACTTCCTGTACCGCCCCTGGAGTGTGGGCTCAGCACCCTCTTAGCACAGAGGGACCCAAACAGCCAGCCCACACAGCGGCCTCCTGGGACACGGGCACTGGGGCTTCTGTCCAGGAGAGATGCCGTCTGCTGGTGGCCCCTCCCCAGGCTCGTCCACCCTCTGCACACCCTGGGGAACCCTGACCAGGCGACCCACGTCCCTGTTTCACAGATGGGCAGCTCGAGGCCTGGGGGCTTTTTGGCCACCATGTCGCCCTCTCAGGGAGTGGCGGCTGCGCCCCGGTCCCTGCCACCTGGAGGAGCGTGTGGGCAGGCGGGCGCAGGCAGGCGGGCGCAGGATTCGGTTGACCCCGGAGGCCCCGGGCTGCCTCTCCGGGCGCATCCAGGTAGGTCTGGGGAGTGAGTCTCCATGCGGGCAGCTGGGGGCACCAGAGACACCCTGGAGGTGGTGGCCAGAAGCCCAGGATGGGCTGGAGTGTTTGGTGGGTTTCTGGAAGATTCCAGGCACCAGGCTGGGCACTGCACGGCCCCGCCTCTGGCAGCAGGTGTGCGGAGAGGGTGTGACGAGCCCTGTCTCAGCGGAGGACGGGGGCGCTCGGGCCGGGCCCCGGGGCCCCTGCCCCCGTGCAGCCGGGGCTCACAGGCTGGAGGGCTGGGCCAGGGCGGGGCCGGCAGCGGGCACCGCCTCGTCCTCAGGCCGCTCCTCGCCGCGGGCGTAGGAAAGCACCACGGTGACGGTGGCGAAGGTGGCAGCGTTGACCGGGAAGGCACGCAGCAGCGTGGAGGCCAGCCCGCGGGTGAAGACGCGCCAGCCCTCGGCCCGGTAGCTCTGGCGCGCGCAGTCCAGGACGCCCCGGTAGCGAGGGGCGCCCCGCAGCCCGTCGGCCTGCAGCCGCGACTTGACCACGTCCACGGGGTAGGTGGAGAGCCAGGACAGGATGCCGGACGTGCCGCCAGCCAGCAGCAGCTTGGGCACCAGTAGCCGGTCGCCCGGCTCGCAGCCCAGCGCGCGGGTCAGCACGTCGTAGGACAGGAAGTAGACGCCGAAGCTGGGCGTCTCGCGCAGCAGGGTGGACACCATGCCCCGGTGGACGCCGCGCAGGCCCTCCTGCCGGTAGATCTGCGCCAGGCAGTGCAGCGAGCCCCGGTAGGTGCGCGCCGGGCCGGCGTCCTGCAGCTGCAGCCGCGTCTTGGCCAGCTCCATGGGGCAGCAGATGACGCACTGGATGGCCCCCGCCGCCGCCCCCGCCAGGAACTGGTTCAGCGGCGAGTCGCGGCCCAGTGCCCGCAGGGTGTTGCCCTGGACGCCGAACACCAGCGCATTGATGAAGGTGAGCCCCATGAGCGGGGACCCCAGGCCCTTGTACAGGCCCAGCACCTGTGGGGACAGAGAGGTGTCGGGGCGGCCCCGCACCCCGGTGCCCGCAGGGCCAGCCCCACCGGCTCCCCCCCACCCCAACTCCCGACTCGGCCTGTGGCCCCGAGGCTTCCTGGCCGGGGCGCCCTCCACCCACCTGCCCCGGCCACTCACGCTCTCCTGCCTGATGATGGACTGGAAGCAGTGCAGGGTCCCCCGGTACTGGGGCTTCTCTGGGCTCTGGACCTGCAGCCGCACCTGCAAGGAGAGCCCAGTGAAGAAAGGGCCCGCGGGGGAATTCTGGGTGGGGCTGGGCCTGCTTCTTCTGGGAGAGACATCCACAGGCAGCCAGCTGGCTACAGAGGGGGTCCCCGAGACCACTGACAAGTGGGGTGCAGCCATGGACTGACAGTACAGTGCCAGCCTCGGCTGAGCTGGGTCCCCACTGCTGGCCGCTGCGACGGATGCCTGGCCTGATGTGCAGCCGCAGCCCCGGGGTCAGTCACGGGGGACCGGAGGCCCCACCCTTGGTCCCTGGCAGAAGGGGGCTCTTCTCAGCAGGGATGAAGGTGGAGCAGGGCTACCTGGGGGTGGGTGAACTGGGTGAAGCCACTCTCCAGAGCCGGGTCCCCAGCTCTGCTCAGACGTGGCCCTGGTGGCCGGGCGCCCTAACCCCCCCACAAAGGCCACCTCAGCTGGGTGGGTGCGGCCACTCCTGCACCCTGGGGCGCCTTGCAGCATGGTCAGGGAGGTAGGGCCACATGGCCTGTGTTGCTCAGGCTTTAGGGGAGGGAGCTGCCCTGTGGGGGCCTGGCTGGGTTCAGAACCACCAACCTTTTCTGGCTCCGCCCCCAGGCTGGGCTGCTGGCCTGCCACACTCACAGAAGTTTTCTGTTTGAAAAAGTGCTGTCTCTGCAGGGCCACTCCTTAGCTGGCTGCCCCCTGCAGGGATGGCCACCCTGCCGGGCCCAGCGGGGCGTGACCTCCAGAGAAAAGCGAGACAGGTGCTGCACTTGGGCCGGGAGGGCTGGCTCCTGCTCAGCTTCCGTGAGACAAGGTTTTCCCCTGTCCCTCCATGAGAGCCGGGAGCTCTCAGACACACACCCCTGCACCCGAGCCTGTGCAGGCCAGACGGTATGTCTGACCCAGGGCCTGGGATGCGTCCTCGCCCTCTGGGAGTCTGGTGACCAGGTTTGGGGGTGCAGTGTGGCCCAGTGGCCCACATCTGGTAATATCTAGAGCTGAGGGTCTCAGCGTCTTGGGTGACAGGCTATAGTTTGGGGAGTGATGGGTACAGTGGACCCACTGCTGGGGAGGGGTCATTCACCCAAGCCCAGGAGGCTCCCGGCTCCCCACAGGGCCGGGGCCTTCAACCCCAGCCGCCCCTCACCTGGAGGCCTCCCCACCAGCCCTGCACTAGCCCCCACCCCAGGACTTGTGCTGGGCCCAAGCTCACCTGGCACCCCCCCCAGTCTACCTGGGGGAGCCCAACCCCAAGCTCACCTGGTGCCCCCTGCTAGTGGGGCAGGAACTCTGGAGGGGGCTGGGGGCCGGGCAGTGGCCCCGCGCTCTGGGGCGAGGCCTGCACCTTCTGCCACAGGCCTTTGGGACGGCGATGTCCAGCGCAGCACAGAGGGGCTGGCACTCCAGCGTGTCCTACCAGGGTGGTGCCCCGCCCCCGGGCATTCGGCGGGACTCGCTGTCCCAGGTTCCTGCCCCGTGCGGTGAAGGCAGCCAGAATGCCACCTTTGGACAGATGCGAGTTAAGGCGTGTGTCTGAGGACGTGGCACAGAGGTCAGATGTGGACTTGATTCCCAGAGCATGGGGGTTCCCTAAGACCTAGAGGAGGGTGTGAGAGAGCAGGGCAGCTCTGAAGTTAGGACAGGGCCGCTTGGGGAAGGGGGTGTCAGTAGGGACGGGGGGGACCTTCATGAGAGCGACAGGACTGCACGCTGGGCCTTTATGTCCGTCCCCGTGTGCTAAATTTCCACGGGAACAGGCCCAGCACGGAGTCAGCTGCCCACAGCCAGGCAGCCGGCTGGGCAAGGCGGCGCTGCCCAGGTGTGGGGGAGGGGAGGGCAGCCCGGCCTTTTTCAGTCGATGTGACTCAATGATGGTCACAAAACGTTGTCTCTGCCACCTCCAGTACTTTGGCAAGGGAAAGCTAAGCGCCGAGACGTGGAAGCTTGTGCATTTAGGAAGTGCCGGCCTTGCTCATCTTCTTAGCTGCCTTTTTGTGGACGTGCGCGGTGGAACGGAGAGCTCGGGAGGTCGCTTGCGACACTCACAGCAAACCGTCTGTCTCACGTGTTGGGGAACAAAAAGACCTTACAGCAAATCTTTGGGTAGCTGAAAACGGGGCTCTCCGGGCCTCTGCCCACTCGGTGGCCCGTCGGCCCGCGGCGCTGAGGCGAGCCAGACTGTGCCCGGCCGGCCGCCTCACGTCTTTCGGCAGCTCTAGGGCTCGGCCTGACGCGCGCTGCTCCTGTGCCGGGCCACGGCAGCCGTGCGCCGGCGTGCCCGTGGGAGCTGGCAGCCTGCAAAGTGCCTGTCTCTCGGCAAACATTTCTCAGTTGTCCAAAAGCCCCTCACAGTGAAACAAACACCATGTGGGGTGCGGGGCATGGGGCAGAGGGGTGCGCTCAGGGACGTGCCCAAATTGTGGAAAAGGGTGTGCTGGTGGCAGGAAAGAATCTGCTTTTCTCCATGAACCTGCCACGTTTAGTGAGAAAACTTCACCTTTCTCATGGAAACAGCCAGAAAGGAAAGAAGAAATGAGGCCATGGGTGATGCAGCCTTGAATTAAACCCATGGGGAAGAGAAATAGAAGAAAAAATATAAATCATTTAACACACTAGTATATGAATAAGGTCAACTAAGCCTGGCGAGGTGGGCGTCGGGAGGGCTGCGGCGGGGTGAGGCTCTCTCCCACCAGCGAGAGACCTGCCTTGAGACGGTTTGGCCCCAGGTGGTGCTGGCAGCGGAAAACCGTCACATAGGAGCTTCCTCAAGGATGAGCGCACAGGTGCCAGGTAAGGGGTGGGGAATGGCAGGGTGGTGGGTGACGCAGCTCCGGCACTGGGAGAGGGACTGAGAGCGCCGGCCTGACGGGGCTGACTGAGGGGCGGGTGGGTCTGGCTAGGTCCAGCCCCAGCCTTGAGAAGCCTGGCTGGGAGGTCAGCGTGGGCAGTGAATCAGAGGCTCCGCCTGACTGGACACGGCTGCCAGAGGCCTTTGCAACATGTGACCATGAGAGAAATCCAGCGTGAGGTGGACACTGCCAGGCTGGCCAGGCCTGATCCGGCTGTGGACCAGGGCCCCCCGGGCCCCCGCTGGCTTCAGCCCCTTCCCCAAATGATCTTGTTGGGGTGGGAGGGATACCCACAGGCCTTCACTCAGCACAAGCCACTGTGCTGGGCACCAGGCCCGGCAGGGCGCTCCAGAGTCCTGCCCGCCCCTCATCTTGAGGTGAGGACATCTGGCCAGAGGCGAAGGGCCTGACCCGGGTCAACGGCCGGCAGGGGCTGGTGCCCCGGTGCAGGGGCGACCCCTCAGGTCAGCCCTCACGCACAAGGCTGGACTTGGTGAGTTTAAGGACCCCTGAGCAGAGGGAGGGAGGCATTTCCAGCTGGAGAATGTGGCTGTCCTTGGCTCTGCTCAGGAGCCAGGCATGTGGGAGGGGGCGCGGCCAAGGACCCGCCGGGGCCACCATCCTCAGGGCACACCGCGACAGGGATGCGGCTGCTGGGGAGTACTGGCCGCACTCAGGAGAGGGCCTGGAGCTGGGTCTGAGAACAGTGTGGGTCTCCGCACTCTGGGGGCAGAGAGCTGCCCTTTGGATGCTCAGTCCAGGCCCAAAAGGACAGAGGCAAGGGCATGGCCGGTGGAGACTCGGCCCCTAATCCGGAGCCTGGGGGCACCCTAAAGTGTCGGGGAGCGGGACTCCGGCCGTGTCAGTGCTGACTCACCTTGACAGTGTCAAACGGGTGTCCCACCAGCACGCCTGCCACACCTGGAGAAGAAAGGACGGGGTGACCCAAATGCCTGGAGCCTGCAGGGAGGCGGGGCGCAGGCCGGGCGCTGCGGAAGTGGCGCTCCCAGCACCTGTTGTGTGCCAGGCCCCCGGGTCCAGGGGTCGTCGGACACCCAAGTTAAGCCAGGGTCTGTCCAGCTGAAAGCTGACCCGCTTGGTGGCACAGGCCACTGCTGAGATGGTCTAGAGCCTCAGACACCTCCCGGTGGGGCCTCCTTGGCCGAGTCTCAGCGCTATCGAGCTGCCCCAGCCTCTCAGCACAAGTTCCATCCTGGCCAGGGAGTGACCCCTCCCCGCTGCCCCCTCAGCTGTGGGTTTCAGTGGATCCGTCTGTTCTGCTCCCCACTCTGCCTCTGGTGAGTCCTCTCACTCCCATACCTCTGGTCTGCACCTTAGTTCTTAAAACAAAAAACTAAAAAGAATTAAAACACCCAAACACCTCCCAGTAGGCACAGGGGCTCAGAACCTCCTCCAGGTTAGACTTTTCCCTCTGCCTCTGACCAGCCAGCCAAGTTCTCGAAGGACTTGAGTGTCCACCTCCTCTGGCCTCAGGGGCACATCGAGAGCCCCAGGGCACACTGCGCCAGGAAGCACTGCCCGTGCCACGCCTCCCCATCTTCCCCATCCCCTGGACCCTCATGTCCCCAGGGTCAAAAGCCCCGCCTGCTTTTCTCTGAGACCATCTCAGATGCTTCTTCCATGTCCTAGTCTCCAGCCTCCTTTCTGGGCTGCCATGACCTCCATTCCGCCCAGCTGTGGGTCCCAGACGCTAGTGGCCCACACATGCCTGGGCGCTGGCAACAGCCTCCAGCAGCCTCCGGGCCCTCTGCAGCCCCCTTCTCCCTTGACCGGCAGGTGACTCTTGCACTCCTCCTGCACCAGAACTTCCCAGTCTGCAGGAACACAGTGGTGTGAGGCCTGCCTCCATCAGGGCTCCCAGTCCCCCAAAGCCTGACCTTCAACTTTGAAGTCACCGTGAGAACCAGGGAGCCCTAAGAGGGTGCTGAGGCCAGGTCACAAGCAGAAACCACCCGGTCTGCCAACCCCGAAGCCGGTGGCTTCGGCCCTCCCTCGTGGGCCTCGCAGGGGCAACCCCACCCCATGACCCTCCAGGACAGGAGGGACACCGAGGGCGTCACCTTCCAAAGGCGCCTGGCAGCAGTCGTGGGGGAGGGGACACCAGGCCACAGCGCAGCTTATTCCTGCTCACTGCCCCTTCTGTCTGTCCCAGGGAAGGAGACTCCATCGAGCCCAGGGTCTGCGCAGGCTCAAGGCTGGGGCCCCCTGACCCCGGTGGGCAGAGCAGCAGCACTTGGATCCCTCCCCCATGGAAGCCAGTGATGATGCCAATCAAGATGGCTGCTGCGTCCCCAGGTCCTGAACCCCAGGAAACCCACACCGAGCCAGGCCACCAGAAGCACCTCCTCGGGGCCTGGGCCTCCAGGTCTGAGGACCCCCAATCCAAAGGGGCCAGGCAGGAGTTCCTGGGGCCAAGCCCCAAGGCGAGGATGCTGCCCACCGGGCCCTGGAGAGTCCCTCTGTTGGGGCTGGGCTGGGGCAGCAGCCATGTGTTAAGCAGGATTAGGTCACTGTCCCTAGCGCCTTGAGGGGGGAGGGGGGAGCGGACCTCAAAACCGCAAGAGAGCAAACAGTGTGGTTTCAAATCGTCCTGCCACTTCCCTGTGCCCAGGTTCCAGTCAAGTAAGGCCAGGAGTGAGTCCCTGAGGCGCAGGAGCTTGGGAGAGCCCTGCAGGGCCTGCAGTAACCCTCCCAGGTGGGCCTGCCCACCCAGGCAGAAGGGCATTCTGGGCGGGGCCTGCTGGGCCATGCTGGGGGCGGGGTGGCCTCAGGATGCATTTTCTGCCCCAAGCCCCAGCACACCTGTGCAAATACAGAAGGAATCCACACTGCCCAAGGCCCTGGGCGGGCCCTGAGGGCCTGGGACAGCCCCTGGAGGATGGGGAGCCAGAGCCCAGCTCGGGCCTCCAATTGTCCCTGGGAGGTTTACGGAAAGCTGCAGGTGCCAACCTTCCAGGCAGGCTGCGCCCCGATTTCAGAGACACATGGGGATCACCGCTGCGGACCCTTATTCAATTCGAAGACACAGCCCCCTGCAGGTGACCCCAGACGGAAAGAAGCAGCACTGGCAGTCCAAATACTAAAGGCCACAGCTAGACCCTCCCAGCAGGGCTCCCTGCGGCAGGCAGGGAGCTGAGACTTCACAGCCAATGCCAGAGGAAGAGCAGAAGGGCAGGTGCTGGGAAGAAGCAGCCTGAGGTCAGCGCTGGCCTCAGCGGGCACCCAAGTCTGACTCCCAATTAATACCTGTTGAATAAATTAACACTCAGCAAAAGCGAGAAACTAAAGGTCAAAGGGGAAGAGACAGCGGTCAAGCCGTGAGCTGGGACTGCACAGGGACTGTGTGGGGGACCCGGCTGGGGAGGATGCAGGCCAGCCGGCCTCCTGAAGGTGCCCCTGGCGGCTACATGCCCACAAGGGCCCAAACTCCCACCCCGGCAGTCCCAGCAGCCGGGAAGGGGCGACGCGCCCAAGCATGGCCAAGCCCAAGCATGACTCGGTCGCCTGGGGTCCAGACAGTGCCCTGCGGTGCACTCCGCCAGGCTGCGAAGGGGGTCGCCCGGTGCCCTCCGCCGTTCAGAGGGCTGCGGGGGTGGAGTCAGTCCCCGACTTCTCCAGCCAGGAGGCCACCTGCGGGGTGGCGCGGGAAGGGAACTAGGGCCGGATGGGGACACGCACCGCGACAGGGGCATCCACTAGCCCAGCAGGAGGAGGGCGCGGGGGCCGGCCGGCATCCTCTCGGCGGTCCAGTTTACGCCGGGTCCAGACGCTGTCGGCCCCGCGGCCCGACCTCTCGTCCGAACATGCTCCGGGGAACTTGAAAGCTACTGGTCCTCGCGGGCCGTGTGCGAGGCGCCCTCGGGCCTGCTGTCAGTTCACGCCAGGCGAGCCCCGGAGACCAGAGCCCTGTTACCCCTCTCCCCCGGGAGGGGACCCCTGCAGGCGGCCAGTCTCTGGCCGGAAGGCTCGAAAGCAAGCTGGGCTCCCATCCCCGACGCCTCGCTCCGGGCCCCAGGGAGGGCAGGAGCGCAGCATCCCCGGGCCCCCGCGCGCACCGAGCGGGGCCGCCCGCCTCCTTACCCCCGGCGCATCCAGCCAGGAAGTCGAGCGCCATGGCCGGGTCTCCGCGGGCCTGTCCTTCCTCCTCGCCCTCCTTCTCCGGCCCCTCGCCGGGCCGGGCACCGTCGGAGAAGCCCCCGGCTGGCCGGGGTGGAAATCGGCCCGGCCACCGCCTCCAGGCGCGGAGCCTCGAGCCGGCCGGGAGTGCGG